ATGCATTTTTTTCAAAATGATCACACTATTTTACACAGAAAAAAAAAATCATTTTAAATATATAGAAAAGTTTTTGTATATAAATCCCCAAAAAATGGTGCTCATATATCAACTTAATGCTTGCTGGACGTTGTGTCTGAGACTAACCTGAGCCGAATGAAGTGTGCTGGGAGTCTTGGTAGTGTGCTCGGACAGGGCATGATCAGAAAGTCTCTTAAGGTAGGCCTTCACTGCCTGCTCATCGGGATATGGGGAGGACTTCCCCCCTGTGGCTCTACAGCTGTCCGGCTCAGGAATGCTGGTCTCTGAGGCTTCGACACAAGCCTCTCCATTTGTGGGCGGAGCTTCAGGCTCCGCTGAGTCTTCTATGGCTGGTTCTACAGGTTCTTGGCTAGATGCAGGAACCTCATTTTGTGGTTCAGAGGCAGGTTTGCTCTCAGGAGGAGGTGTAGATTCAGGGTTAGTGATGGAAGTGGGTGATTTTGGGATCTGGGTTGGCATGGATGGAACAAGTTCTGTAGGAAAGCTCTTGCTTTGCTTACCCCTTGAGCTCTGATCTGGGCTGCCCTCAAATGCAGATGTGGTCTCACCGCTGTCCAACTCAACACCTACTGGACAGTGATGGCCATCAGAGATAATAACATGGTCCTCTTTGTCTGTCATAGTGTACAGCATCTGATGGCACTGACCGCACTTGTCTTGAGGGGGGTTCCGAGGCTCCTGCGGAGGGGGGAGACAGCGCACCAGAGCCAGACTGTGAGCGGCTCCACAGGCCACCTGCAACACGTGCCTTCCAGCCAGGTGCTCTACCTTCTGGGGCTTCCAGACAGGAAACGTTGAAGTGTTCAGGCCCAGCTGGCACCCGCTTCCCCAAGCCCAGACTTCATGCTTGGCTGAAAGAGCCAGCGTGTGCTGATCCCCACAAGCCACCTCCAGGATCTTCACCGTCTGAGGGGGCGTGGCCTCAGAGTCCAGCACACCCACAGGGGTAGGATTAGGGATAACAGAGAGTCCTGATAGGCCACATTGGCCATGAGTGTTTTCTCCCCACATGTGCATGCCTCCATCTTCTGTCACGACTCCACTGTGGACAGAGCCAGCAGCCACAAAAACAACGCGTTGTTCGCTAAGAACCGCCTCCAAAACAGGCTCAGTCGCTACTGATGATGTTTGGTTCTGTTTCCATGGCAGCTCGCCAAAGCTGTAGACTTGTCCCCCTAAATATAGTATATAAATAATTACATTTCTGGATTGCAATATTAATGAAAAATGTATGAGAAGCAACAGTCAATAGTCTTTTCACAACCTTCACAATCTGTTTAAAGCAGTGGTTTTCCACCAGAGGGTCAGTGCCAGCTAGTGGAACTTAGTAAACTTCCAAGTGGGCCACGGGATGACTTAAAATTCTTTCAGTTAATTATATTAAAATAATATAACTTAACTGAAATGCTAACAAAACTAAAACACACAAAATCAAGATGTATATTGAAATCATATTTCTTTTTGTCCCCCTCTCAATAATGATTGCTTTTATTCAAGAATTTACAATTCTTTCACTTCTGGAATCACAAAAAGAATTCTACTTAATTAATAAAATATTTCTAAACTCCCAGTTTCTGTTAATAATACAGTTTAAAAACAAGCTGCTTTGTCATAATTGCAGCAGAAATACCTTAAGGTGCAAACACATTTACTGTTTTTTGGTCAATTTTTGCAGATGAAATACATTCATTTCAATGTATTTGTAACTGAAAGTGACTGCAACAATATCATTCCTCCGTGTAATTATCATTATAGTTGTGTTGACTTCCATATCTCACAGAATTAAAACAATTATTAACACTTTAGTTATAGTTATTGTTATAGTTATCATTCTTGGTGGCCTTTAGCCTATATGGGGGCAGTCTTAAGAATGATAAAGTTTGAAAATCACTGTGAACGTGAACATGAAGCATTTTCAGCAGTTTTCTTGTGAAACAAATATTCAACAACACAAAAGAAAAACTTTTTTTTAACATGTCGTAGAGGCTGTGGGTCACATTCACCCTTGCGAACACCTCAGTGTATCCAAATGTTAATGATCCCTTTTTAAACAATTTTTTTTTCATTTTAGGAAAGTTTGCCTAAAAATAAAATGCAAGCCTACAGTATATGACTTAATTCTGTAGAACCCATACAAAGTCAATGGGGTCTAAAACAACACTGGACACCAATGAATTTCAACTATTTATTTATGGGGGTGAACTATCGTGTTAAATTACTGTTACTATTCCATGGCTTGTCATGGCTGATTATGTCAGCTTGGCAAGGCGTTTCAAAGGCACATCATGTTATTACATTTTGATAAAAGATCACAAAGAAAAACATTTGTTCTTTGCAACCAATAACTTGTGCACAATAAGACCACGTAAATAGTCCATTTTGATGTTGACTTTAACCTGTTAACAAAGTGCTCATCAAAAATTTGTATCTTGCATCTAGAGGGTTGCCCAGCCAAATTTGCATGTGTATCCAGTGTGAATAATAAATGTATTACCCTCTACTAGCAGAACACCATGTCTAGCTCCCACGGCAGCCTGGAGAACCGGCCGGGAGAGCAGCACCCTCTCCGGTGTGGTGCTGTAGGAATATCCCCTCCACGTGTGGAGAAGTCCTCTCTCCCCAGAACCGTCCTCCTCACCACAACTAGAAACACAGTGATGAATACACTCTCAGGAAAGTCATGAGACAAAAAAAAAAACGAAGAAGCGTACAAACACTGCACTGTTCAACATTGCTGGCAGTCTGTCTTTGAACACACTCACCTCATCTGCTTCTCCATCTCTAAACGTTCCCCATATCACAGCTGTTGCGTTTGTCGCTGTGGATGATTGTCCTGTAAGAACACAAGTGATGTATGATTTCAGATGTTGGATGACAACAGAGCGTTCGAGAATGACTTGTATGTTTAAGCTCATTTTCCTGAGACAATGTTTCATAAAACTAGTCACAAAGTGACTGAACAAATTCTGAGCATTTCTTTTTAACTGTAAAATAAGTAAATGAAATGTTTGAGTCCAGAATTTGTGCCAAGCAAAGACTAACAGTGTAAACACATATGTACACACACTGGTCAGGGCCAAAGGTGACGCAGAGCTGTGATGAAATCAGCTGAACTAGTAAACACACAACAACAGATCTAGAACAGTTACTGTTTAATAGATTTTCAAAATGAATATTAACAACTTCTTTTCTGAGTTAGTTAAAACACAAGCTGTCAAGCAGGTTTAGATGGTCATAAATAAAAGTCATGCATTTAAGCAAAAGGAAAACAACAAATCTAGAATTACATCATCTACGTCGACAGGTGGAGATCATGTTAAATAACTCATGAATTAAAAATACCATTGTAAAACCATAATACAGTCTCTAGAAGACATAAATATTTATAATTGTCATTCTATTCGCTGCTTTAATATCACTCAAGCTAGTAAATATGGTGCTTCGTTCATTCTTACCCCGATATGTCAGACTAAAGATCTCAGACAGAAGCGAACGACTCTTGGCTTAATATAGCTTGTCAGCTTTTAAAACACTTGATCAGAGAAGTAAAATAAGCCGGTGAAAAGAGCAGACCCAGCAGAACGAAGCTCATGATGATTATGATGATGACAATCGGGTGTGTTGTTATGGTGTTGTTGTGAGCGTTTCAACGGACGGAGAAGCAGGAGGGACAAACAACACAGAGTATTTACGCTTTCGCTTTTTCTACTCGGTTCGGCAGAAGAGGAGAGATGAGTTGGTTGCTTGAAATGTTGAGCTGGTAAGCTAAATATGTTAGCTTACTGGTCGATAGAAACTGTAAATTGAATTGCAGATTAATAATAATAATAAATGGACTAATACTGCTCCTGCAGTTGTCGGTCTCGGTTTGACTATTTTTCTTAGCGAACGCAGTAAGCTAAATTACAAGTAAAATGATTAAAAATCAGCATTTCATCCTGTCGGGATTTATTCTGCGATCATGATAATTCTCTTAAATATCCTAATAGTTAATTAGGATATATATGTATAATATACAGTAGTACGATTTTTTTTTAAATGTTAAATGCTTTATATGCGAATAAAGTGAAATATACTATAAATCCAACTTTAAATATATCACTGGGTGATAAGTTTACACTTTGCGACGATATAAACAATAAAGCAGTTGAGATTTGCTAGTATATTTGTATATTTGTTTTTCTGTGGTTAAAGCGTTCCATCAATCAGAAACCACTTATTTATTTATCATTTCATTCATTCATTCATTCATTCATTCATTCATTGTTTTGTGTGTGTGGGTTTTTTTTTTTTTTTTTTTTTACAGGGCTCGACAATAAGGACTTCCTGATGGCCCGGGGCCAGTGTGAAATACAGTTCACGGATTTGTCACTGGCCTGATCGGGCCACTGCTGCATCGTCACGAAAGTTTATCTTCTGCACGTGTTTAGCCTTGCTAATTTAAACATTCAAGCAATTTTAAAGCATTCAAGCACAAGAGGACACAAAAGACAACTCCATTCAGCACTCACGCGCTATGTTCTGTGTGAACAGTGTGCACACTGAGAGCCGTGTCTCAGACAATGCGCGAGCCCCATATTACATTTCTTTCAGCGTCTTACTGCACTTGAACGGACAAATACATACAAAAGTATGTATACATTTTTATAGTAAAATTTATTTTAAAGAGCATCTGCATTTTTTTTTTTTTTTTTTTTTTTTTTTTTTTTTGGAGATGAGAGTGGAATTTCAAGCTAACATTTGTTTTCAAAATATTTTATCTCTACTTGCTCCTTCTCAGCTCTCATTCTCACATACTCTGGGTGTTTTAGATGCACCAGCCTTTAAAAACAAACCAGCAATCACCTTGCCTCTCTTTATTTTTCAGCCAGTTGGATGGTGGTTTTCAGAAGAATTCTGATTGGCCTGTGACAGGAGGCAGGAGAGCAACAGAAAGAGAGAGAGAGTGGTACAGAGAGACAGGAGGAGAGCTCAGAGTAATCGTAGGAGGACAGAGAAGGGAACTTGTGTCAGCGTGGGTGCTGAAGCAGGAGAATGACATGCTGGATAAAGGGGCAGCGATGATGTCCAGTACCATATTCAAAATGTCCAGGTCACAGTGAGAGCCTCCTGTCATAACAACAGTAGTTCCATCAAGATCCATCAGAAGAAGCAGACAGCATGCAGAACCTCTGGCATGCAGCTTCTGAGGCTTTCCAGCGTCTCGGTAAGTACATTTCAGCTGTATCTAAGAATATACAATCAGTATGAAAATCTGTCCTTAATATAACGTGTGTTAATGTCTCATCACGTGGGAAGTAGGAATAGTACATAATTTAAGAGATAAAACAACAATCTTCTTCATCCCCAGCATCTCCCAAACTGTAAATAACTTGATTCATTCATGTACTCTGAGCTGCATAGAATGGCTACATTTGCATTCTCGTTTGTGCCTCACATAATTATTAGATAATATTATTTGTATTTGTGCTCATTTGCATTTCTTGTATCAGCTATATGTAATTGAACATACCTGTTGTTGCTTATAGTAAATTGAATGTGAGAAGCCCCTATTGCTTATAAACCTAATAAACCAACCTGTCTCAAATTTGTTGGTTTGATTGTCCCTGAAACAGCTCCTGACATCGATTTAAATTTCTGAAGAGACCATACCCTCCTGGGAAAAAAAACTAAAAAAACAAGTTTAAACCCATCTAAGGTGGTCTGAGCTGGTTTATCTGGTCTCCCAGTTATCATTAACTAAAACTATTAAAAACATTTTTGGTAATTGAAATAAAGCTGAAATAAAATACAATATAAATATATCAAATATATATTTAAAAAAACTAGATAACTAACTAAATACAACAAAAAGAACTCAAACTTAACCTTAAATAAATTGTAATATATTAAAATTAAATAAACATGAGATAAAAAATGAAAATAAAAGCAAATTAAAATGACAAAAAAAAAACTGTAAATAATATTAAAATAACTGGTAGAAGAACCGAAACAGACCATCTTATCTTCCTAAGGCTGCATTAAGATGTTTTTTCAACATGGTATGTAACTAAACCATAGCAGAGGAAGCCAACTCATTGTTGTGGCTAAGCACATGTCATTGTTGATGTGCATTGGAAGACAAATAGCCCATGTATCCTTTCTGCTTGACCTGTGGATACAAAACACAGCAAAGATTGTATCCCTGGTTTACTGCATGGCAGAAGTGAGATTCTGTTGTGATGGAGGAGGGAAGGGCAGGTTCCTGTAGGTGAGAGGAAAACAGCCTGTAACAGCATCTGTGTCCATCTCTTGAGAGGCAGGAGGCCTGAGAGCGAAGAAAACCGTGTGTGTTATGTGTGAAAAAAGCAGGCATTAGTGAAAGTCATCGGCTTTAAGTATATCGCACTAGTGGTAAATCTGTCACTGGCTATTTCTGGACATCTGTTTAAGCACATTTCCTCACCATCTACAAAAGTAGCCCAGTACTGTCTTGTGAGGAGTCAGCAAGACTGTGTTTTTCTCAGAACTGAATGCACAAAAAATATTATAAATATAGTTATCAGCTGATATTGGATATTTAATTGTTCATGCTAATTTATTAAATTTTTTTACATTTAGATTATTTTTGGCATCATCTAAGTCTAAAAACACTTTTTCTTCCAGTTTATCTGCATGTCTTGGGCTCACCAACCTGAAATCAGTTTTCTTGTGATAATTTTGTGGACCAGTTTCTTCTCTGGGTGTTTTTTTTTATTTTTATTTTTTTATCTGAACTTATATTCACTTTTTGGGTTAAAGACCCCATTAAATGGCTTCATAAATTCCTGTGTTGACGTATTTCCTGTTGAAACCGGAAGTTGGGGTGGGTTATATCAAAAGGTTTGTAACTTTTTAAATATTTCATATTTTACATTTATGATTTGCTTTTTGCTTTGGCTAATCAGAGGCAGGACGGTCATTCTCAAATTTCAATCTAGAGAACATATTATTGGACATAAATTTGAATATATTTGTATATTCCTCTGCAAAAAAAAACATTATTTTGGTCTGTTTTCCCAGAAGAGATAGCTTATGTATTTTAATCCACATTTCTGAATATCCAGGAACACACTAGCTTATGGATGGTCTCAAAGCTGACAGACATTTATTAGGGTCTTTAACTTGACTTGTTTACCTGACATGATTTATCTGAGTTTCTTGGCCTTCATCTAACCAATCACTGCACTTGTCTGATATGTGAGTGATGGGTGGCTGGCAACATACTAAACAGCACTTACTGCTGTACACACTGCTCACAGAATACTGATCAGCAACGAGAGAGAGTGAAGGAGGGAAAACATGGAGAGTTGGCAACAGAATGCAGAACAGTAAGGAGAGGATGTCAAGTGGTGATGAAGGAGAGAACAAACTTGATGGAATAAGGAAAGATACTCGTGCAGAGACAGAAAGAGTGGAGTGTAGAGATGGATGAGAGGATGAAAACAGAGAGCGGGAAGGCGTGATGCATCTGAGCATGAGTTATGAGCTCTCTTAGCCCTCCCTTACCCTGACTCATAAATATCTGTGCAGACAGACAGAGAGAATGGAAAAAATGCTCTGGGGGGAAGCAGAAACACACAGAGACAGCAGAGATCATTGGTCGACACACAAGGGTGAACAAACATATACTCTCCACTGAGTAACCTCTGTGATTGACATTTTATAATATACAGCATACTTTTCAATGACATTTGTGCCTGAGTTTGCATTTCATTTTCACCCCAAAATTAAAATTTGCTGAAAAGTTACTCACCATTAGGCCATCCAAGATGTAAATGAGTTTTTTTCTTCATCAGAACCGGTTTAGAGAAATGTAGCAATACATCACTTGCTCACCAGTGGATCCGCTGTAGTGAATGGGTGCCGTCAGAATGAGAGTCCAAACAGCTGATAAAAACATCACAATATTCATCACGAGTAATCATCATGACTCCAAGGAAGCGAAATGCTGTGTGTTTGTTATAAACAAATCCGTTATTAACACATTAACTTTCGATTCCAGCTAAAATACGAGTCCTCTGTCCATAATATTGCTTTCTCCAGAGAAAAAGTCATCTCATCTGAATCAGGAGAGAAATATATACAGATCAAGCAGTTGAAAAAAACAGTCCAAAATGGTTCAATATGTTGGTGGATTTTGAACTGAGAGGAGAACAGGGGGTGGACTTTTTCACGGGAGGAAGCGTTATTATGGATTATGAACTCCTATTTTAGCCAGAAGCAGTGGTTTAAAGTTTAAATGCCCTAATGATGGATTTGTTTCTCACAAACACGCATCTTTTCACTTCACAAGATGTTAATTGATGGACTGGAATCATGTGGATTATTGTGATGATCAGCTGTTTGGACTCTCATACTGACGGCACCCATTCACTGCAGAGGATCTGCTGGTGAACAAGTGATGTAATGCTACATTTCTCTTTTCTGATGAAGTAAACAAACTCATCTACATTTTGGATGGCTTGAGGGTTAGTACATTTTCAGCAATTGTCTTTTTTGGGTGAACTATTCCTTTAAATATTAGAAATAATATTTCATGCTTCCCTTGGCATGTATTTCTAATAAATACATTTTTGAATAGATGCTTGATGTGAAATGGACTCCCTACAACCTCCTAGAATGAGTTTCATGGCAGCTTTTGGTTAATGGAGACTGGTCATTGCGGGATGATGACCTTTCTTCCCTGTCAAGGACGACACTAATCTCCTCAGAGTGACACCTGCAGCCGTGCCAAAAAGAGATTTTAGTAAATTAGATCTGGAACGATCCAACAGAGACATACAGTCTTCTGGGTCAACTTACAGGGCTTTGTAATTCAGTCATCTAATGGTATGTAGTAATATCAACATTAATGCAGTCAACTATAAAGGGAGCCTTTAATTAAATCATTCCTATATCACAATCATAATAACTACTTTGGTATTAGTCTCTCAGAAAACCGCAGCAGTGGGATTTCTAGTGTTAAAGAAAAAATCTTTTTAAAAACTTTCTTCTTAACAGAGAAGTTCTCTATAGTATTTGACATGGTAAAAGGTACTGGACAGTTTTAGGGCAGAGCTGTCTTCCTGGAGTCCCATTGAACCTTAAAACGTACGAAGATGGGCTTATTTTTATATCCCCTGTATCTTTTGCCTAAACAGAGTTCATTGACTGTCAGAACATATCTAATCACGCATTACATAGCAGATGCACTCTGCCTCTTAGAGACACTTTTCAAATATACATCACCGAAATGAACATTTTAAAAGCTGCGTGCTGTTTTACAGAGCACCCATCAGCTGAACTGTGATCATGAGGTCTTTCTCTTCCTCTTTGTTTGTTCCTAACTCTCTGAACCCGTTTAGTGTAGAATTTGCTGCTGAAATTTAATGAAGGTGAAGGGTAAATCTCAGACCCCCTGTACACAACCACCTGCTCCTGTTCGCCTCTCCCGTCAGGAGCTTAAACACGAAGCGTGACTCACCTTGTACCTGCTTTATCAAACCACACACACACACACACACACACACACACACACACACACACAGTTACATACTGAGAATTCTGAAGTATTATGTGTTCTTCCTCCTTGGTCTATAAAATGAAAGCTTTTTCATTTATTAAATGTATTAAAGGAAAGTGTGTATTCAATATAATTAAATATATGATATTATAATATTATGCATTATATTTATATTGTAATTTAAATATTTATGTTATAGGAGCCAGTCTTTAAATACTATGAACTAACATTAATCATTTGATACAGTGCACTTGTGTACATACATGTTTTTACATTTTTATATTTAGATATATTTGTTTTTAATTATTTATATATTTTTGAAAAATTTAAATAACTAAAATGTAATTAAATCCGTAATTATACTGTTGACTTTGTAT